ACAGCAAGGCAAAAACCTCTGAAGTTCAAAGGGATTGTCTCACCTCCGTGGTCTGCCAAGGCTTCACAGCAAGGGACTTACACATCATCAGAACCCTAAGGCAGTAAGATTAAACTATCGTCAGTTATTTTATAAAAGCAAATAAATTAATTCTTAAAGAACCCCATCAAAGGCAGTTATTTGTAGCAGGGTGGGGAGGTGCGTACCTGTAATCGCAGCACTCCGGGAGACTGAAACAGGAGTATTGCAAGTGTGAGCCCAGCCTGAGCAACTAGGTGGTTTTGTGAGACCCTGTCTCAAAAAAATAAGTTACTTCATTTTGTTTTCTATTTTACACATAAATCAACTGTTTGTTTAGAAATTTCAATTGTGAGCACAAGGGCTAGATAAGATTTTATTATGAGTAATCTGACAATAGTGAGTTATCACTCTGATCTTATAAACAATGGTCAGCAACTCAATTTATATCTGGAGGAAATGCACTGACCCCCCCCCCCCGCAACAGAACAGTTTTGATTTGATTCATATAACTTGTCATGGCCCTATGGACCAATGGCACAAGCATGCAGTCATTATTCCTGAACAGCAGAGCCAAAAGTGTGCTTAAAATCAGTCCAACATTTCCTTCCCATTCAGGTAACAGAGAAAACATGGCAAAACTAGGAATTGCTAAGGACTAGACCTGGAACAGATGTATACCAAGCAAACCAGAACAGGTCTCTTTGGACAAAGCGACACCTTCACAATCAGTTCAAATATTACATAATCTCTCACAATGCTTGAAAGATGATCTAAAGATAAAAGCAACACATTAACAATTTGGCTTCCAGAACTATTTTTTGACCATAACCTGCAAAACTTCAGAGTTGGACATAGGGTTATGTGCTTCACACCACCCTGGGAGCTCAATACTTCCCTGGCACCTCAATATAGTCTTTTTATAATTGCCTATTTCAGTTTAAAATGCCCAGGTATCTTGAGTGGTCAGCCCCAGCACTGTTACGGTCAAATCACTTTTTAATTTAATTTCACAACCACCCAGTAAATGTTTTCCAAAACTGACATTTCCCTCCAATTTGTTCTTTCATTTGACAATTACTGAGCAATTAATCTACTAGGTACTGGGTTGGAGCCCAAGGACTCAACAGAGAACATGTTGTCGGTACCTATTGAACTGAGTATGTTCGGATAAGAAAACTCAGCATCATCTAGCTCCACAGGATCTCTTTTAGATAGTTACAGAGCCACCAGGAAAGTTAAAACAACGAATCTAGACTTACAATTTTAGGTAGCAGGTAACAGGTCACATGACCATATTAGACCTTTGAAGTATATACTCTTGAATTTATCCAGAAGTTACCTCATTCTGTTGCTATAACTGAAATACCATAGTCTAGGTGACACATATGGACTAAGGTTTATTGATTTAGCTCTCAATTCTAGAGGCTGGGAAGTCCGAGAACATGGTGACAGTGTTCCAGGAGGGTTTTCTCCTGGCAGCACTGACAGCAGAGGACAGCACATGGCAAGACAAGACAGTTTGCTTTTATAACAAAACCACTCTCTCAATAACCCACTCACTGGTCTATGAATGTAACCCATCTCTTCTCAAAGGTCTCACCTTCAAGTACCATTAACGTGTTAGATGAAACAGGTCAGACACAGAAAGTTAAATATCGCTAGGTTCCTCCCGTGTGAGAATCTAAAATGCAAATAAGTAAGAGTAAAATGAAGGAGAGATGACAGGAAACAAAAAAGGCAGACATTTTGGAGACTGGGAAAAGGACGATGGGAACATTGGGAAGCAGGTGAAGGCCTCACAAATGATCAGTGCATGTCTTATGCATGTTCCAATTCTCCAACATGAATCAACTATTATGCATGACACACTATTTAAAAAGTGGCATTTTTAAAAATACAAATGTCATAAACACATGACTTAGGGTATTAAGTTGCCAACACACCAGTTTTGGGGAGACACACTCAAACCATAGCATCTACCAAATTATCAGATGTTTAAAGGTTTAAAAGTTTCAACCAGGCATGGTCAAGTATGTCTGTAATCCTAGCATACTGGGAGAGTGAAAGATGAGGAGCACAAGTTCAAGCCCATCCTGGGCAAATAAGTGAATTTGTGCCACCTTGCCACAAAATTTTAAAAATTTTCAAATGGTTAAGGATGTAGCTCTATGCAAAGACCCTGGGTTCAATCGCCACTATAGCAAAAGAAGATTTAAGCAAATAAATAATTAAAAAATAAAATAAAAATTAATTTTAAAATTTATTATTTTTCTTCCCTATATATGTACTGAATGTCATGTAAAATTTTGAATTCAGCTATTAAGAAAGACATGAATTACATTTAAGCAATGAGAGTATCTCTAGATCCTGTTATTTTAGTTTTTATATAAAAAATATGAAGCAAACATTTCAACATAACACTTTACCAGAGCCAAGGTAACCAATTCTGTTGTTCAAGACATCCTAAGGCATTTCCTCTCTACTCTAAAATGTGATTTCTGACCAAAGCTCTATACTTTATAAAAATTCTGCTACATCAAGTGCATTTAAAGCACATTTTAAAGGTGACAGTTACCAACTGCTATTTAATAATCATATCCGTAATACATTAAAATGAATGCCAGGTATTGCAGCACGTATCTATAATCTCAGGATTCAGGAAGCTGAGGCAGGAGGGTTTTGAGTTCAAGGTCTAGATTATACAGGAAGATCTTGTCTCAAAAATAAAATATATATATACACACATATATGTATGTTACATTGCAGAAAATGAACAAAAGTTTCAATTATTAGGTCTTCGTCAAAATGCTGAAGTCTATGCCATTTTAACTTTAAAATGGTAAACAAAAAAAGTCACATCAGTTCTTTGCATCATAGTTTTTTGATAGTTTTACTTTGCCTTGCTTGTAATACCAGGGATTGAACAAGGGCCGTGACAGTGAACTACATCCCTAACCCTTTTCTAGTTTTTTATTTTTGAGACAAGGTCCCAGGAAGTCCTTGAGTGTCCAGGCTGGGCTCAAACTTGCAATCCGCCTGCCTCAGCCTCTCAGAATGGTGGGATTACAAGAGCGTGCTCTGCTCATAGCTCTTAATCTGTTAAAACTTTAATAAATATGTTCAAGTTATTAGTATGATTTTCATACTATTTACCTGAAGACATCAATTTGGTTTACTTAAAATTCTATCCTTCTCTCATTATTACTAATTTACCTGAAGACATCAGGTCAGTTATTTACAAATTTTATTCTTGCTCTCAATGATTTCACAGGGAGTAAACACTAACAAACTCCACAGAACTCAGCATTGAATGTCTCTGTCACTGAGCTGAGTCTGTTGGCTGCTCTGCAAGGCACTGGAGGAATGAATCTGTTTAATAAATGTTTGCTAAAAGTAAGGAAGTGCTTACCACTTTCACCTCTTCAACTGCACAGGTCTTTGGCAAGCCAGTTCTATTCCTGCTAACATATAAACTATATGGTTGCAGAGAGTATTAGGTAAAAGGAATGAAAAATATTACAGTTCCTTTTCAAAAAACAAGCAATAAAAACTAATAATAGAAAAGCATCAACAAACTTACAAAGCTAGACAACTGAAAAGACATGTCGCTGTTATAGGATCTTAGAATTCATTTTACTTTAAAACATGACATTTCCAAATCTAAAACAAGGACTTGGGAATCCTAATTTGAAAATGAAACGGAGCGCAAAGAACCTATTTAAATCAATAAAAAGCTTACAGGAGCTTGTATCTAATTCACTCTATTCATTGTTGTGTAAACTGTATGTCCATTCTTTTATGTAGAGGACTTCTACATAAAAGAGTAGCCTGGTAATGCAAATAAAATAATTTTTCTTACCAAAGTACTGAAGCTATAGAGCAAATCTTTACCTGAAAATCCTGCGATCCACAATTAGTTAACGTTTAAACGCTCCACAAATTGCTTTTTCTAGATAACCAAGGGCATCCTTTCAAACACACGGTTAAACAATGACCTCAAACTTGGTAGTTTGTCTATAACCACATCTAAGTAATCCAATGAGAAGTTGCAAATCCCAACTAGTCTTTATTGTGTAATATACATACATACTCAACATTGTGCAACATACATACTCAACATTGTACAACATACATACTCAACATTGTATCTACCAATCCACTTTGTTAAGTCTTCCTCCTGCTGTAACAGAACTACCTAAGATAGTAATTTATAAACAAAATAAAGAGGCTAGAAAACCACGATTAAGAAGCCAGCAGGTTTCCTGTCTGGTAAAATAATATTTCTTACAGATGGAACCATCAACATAGGCTCCTGTGAGAACAGGAGGCTCGTTCCCTCTTGCCCATTGGTACAGCAGAGTCCTCATGACTCAATCACTTCTCCAAAGGCCTCAGCTGGTAATATTCTCACAGTGGGACTTAAACGTGGACAAAAGGGCCAAAGATACAGTTCAGTAGCACATAGCTTGTCTGGCAAGCCCAAGCCCCTGTTCCCAAGTCTGATCTCCAGTACCAAAAACAACAACAACAAAAAAATTTAGAATACTTTAAACCGTAACACATATTTTTCAACTAAATCTGGTAACAGATCTTAAAATACTTTTGTGGTCTCAAGCTGCCTAGACTAAGTAAAAAATCAGCAGGACTGCTTCACTTTCTCTTTAAAAGTACAGGCCGAGAGGAAAGCCAAAGTATGACACTGAACTAGACACTGTGCTGAGGAATACAAAACTTGCACTTCCCTCTTCATTAGCCAGTATGTAGAACTTTAATTTTAGATAACATTATAATTTAAAATAACGAGAGCCATTTCTTGAGTCACTGAGACTTACCCTTTGAAATTATGATTAACTTATCCTGTTCACATGAGCATTTAGGAAACCCTCATGATTCTGTGGCATTTTTACACGTGAAAAACTTTGTGTACATTTGAGAAAGGTTTCTACAGATAAAACAATTTAAAAACCACTCCACCCAAAGGCAGTTGTAAAAGTGTGCGTTTTATTCATTCCATCAGCTGAGAACTATTTTACAAATACAATATTGTACAAAAAAATCACAAAATGTTACAAAATAAAAAAGTACAAACGCATTACTTAATAAATATGACTAAAAGTAGATAAAGTTGAAATGAGATAAATTTTTAGATTGGAGATACTGTTTGACCCAGCAAACCATACAAGCAGTTTAGAGATATTTTTACATAAGAGGCAATCCTACTTTGCCTTTTCGAAGAATTTTAAAGGAACAGAATATTAAGACAAGATTCTCCTGCTATAAAAATGCCAGGGATGGTTCCAGGCACTTATGCTACCAGTTTTTAAATTTTTAAATTTCTTGGTTGAATTTAAGAAGCTATACAGAGCAGGAGACTTCTCTCATCACAAAATTTTACAGCATGTTAAAATTCTTTCGTAACAAAATGACAAATGTAAATGAAAACAAGAGCAACAGTCAGTCTACTCTAAACATCAACCAGAACACACGATCATCATACTGTCATCAGGAAATATCAGGTAAGACCTGGTACTGTCCCTTAAAAGAAAAAAGTCTTCCCACATCCATGCTCCTTAAGTATTTCAAGACCGATCATTTCTAGAAAAATAATTTCCAAAACAAAGCTATTTCAACAAAATGGAATGAGTCAATCATCTGGTAATATGAGTACATCAATATTCACTTGAAAAAATTTTCTAAGAATTGTGAAATTCCAATTTCAACATAAAGTAACTACTAAATCACAAGACTGCTCAAAATAATAAATTTCATAGAAAGCACTTCTCTGGATTTCTGCTTGAAAGCCGTGTCAAAATGGAACACATCATAGATGAAGGTCCAATTTTTAAAAATGTGCAAAAATACATTTTTATAGAAAATAGACTACCGGGAATGAACAAATTTATTATACTGTGAGAAATTAGCTTGCAATTTAAGTAGTGCTCATTTTATACAGCAAATTATAAATAGCAGTAGGATCACCCAGCTATCAAGAAACATCATTTAGGTGCCCAGCAACGTTCAGCTCTGAGAAGACATTCAAAGAAATGATTAAGGCATTACACCTACAGAAAAACCTACTAGGAAGTTTAAAAGTGCTATTACCCTGATTAGAGTTCATGTGATTCTCCAAACATAAATTAAGTATTTGATTTCCCCCAAAGGGTTAAGGTTTTCAGACATTTCAAGAGCATGCGTTTTGCTCAATATACATTTTGGACAGAGATATGGCCATGGATTTGGCAAGTTCTTCATCTCGTTTTCTTTGCACTTGGGTTTGTTTGCACCAACTGTCATACTCTGGGTTAGGATAGGAGTGATCGAAAACCGCATCATAGTGTCCATTACTGAGCCAGCTGAGCCAAATGCTAGGCCTTAAGGAGTCCTCGGGGCCCAGATAGTGAATCATGGTAGACACTGTGGGGCTCTCCAATCTCCCTCCAGTAGTTAAGTGTATATTCACATTCAGCATCTGCCCCATCGCCAGCAATTCCGGGTACCCGGCCCAAGCTCCGTCTTGGGCAGCCGCGACGATAAACTCCCCGACGTCGCCCTCAATCAGGGGGTTAAAATGGTCGAGATGATCGGCGATGTAGTGCACCGTCTGCTCCCGCAGCTCCCGGTGCAGGCTCTGGTCTCCGTACACGGCCTTGCTCACAGCTCGGTACAGGCAGTTGCCGTCGGGGATGATGTGGAACCGGAACTTATTCCTCTGCCGCAGGTACTTGTCCTGCCTCTCCACCTCGGCCAGGTACAGGGCCAGCTTCTCGTCCCGAGGATCCGATCTGGACACCACCACCGTATCGGTCGCACTACCCGCCGCCGCCCCGCTGCTCCGCGCGGCGGGCGCCTCGGGCTCCGGGTCAGGGCGCCGCACCGCGTGCGCGCCAGCAGGGTCGCTGCGGTCACTCCCCCGGTCCCAGGCGCGAGGGACCCGATCGGCCCGCGGCTCATCGGCCCACGATGCGGGGCCGGGCTCGGGGCTCCCCGGGGACAGCGCGGGCCCGCGGTGCTTGGAGGCGGCCAGGGCCTGGCGGTGCTCACTCAGTCGGAAGTTCCTGTCGGGGCCCTCGCGCGCCGTGTCCAGGCCGGACTCGGGACCGTCGGGTCGCAGCAGCTCGTCCAGCAGCCAGGCCGAGGAGACCCTGCGCGGAGGCGGCGGCGGCGGCGGCGGGGTGGCCGGGCCCGGGGTCAGCAGGATGCAGCGGCCGCGCGGGGCGGCGCCGGGGCCCGACTCGGGCGCGCGCAACACCAAGCGCTCGGCGCCCAGGGCCCGGACGGCGACCTGCGCCGTGGCCGTGTAGTGCGGGGGCAGCGGCGGCTTGCAGGACGCGCCGGACGAGCCGGGGGCGGCGGGCGCGGCGGCCCCGGACACCACCTCGAAGCACGAAGAGAAGGCGGGCATCTTGGCGGCGGTGGCCTCACGGGCCTCGACGGCGGCTGCGGGCAGGCGCTCTCCGGTCTCGGGCTCGGGCGCGGCGCTGGCGGCTCCGGGCGGCGGCAGGGAGACCTTGAAGGCTGCGGCTGCGGCGGCGGCGGCGGGCGGCGCGGGGGCGGCGGCCGTGGGGCCCGGGGCCCCGGTGGGGAAGTGGGTGCACACGCTGCTGTAGAGCTGCATGTCCCCGGCCGCCGCTCGGCCCTTATAGGCGCGGCGAGCCCCCGCGCAGGGACACACCCTCCGAGCCCGGGCTGCGCGCGCTGACCCGGCGCCCCGAGAATAGCGATGACCCCACGGCCGCCGGCCGCCGCGCGTCAGGAGCCGCAAATAGCGCCCGGGGCCCGGTCCAATTCCTGCTGCGCCACAGCGCGCGCGGGAGGCAGAAGGGAGCACGACACGCGCGCCGCCCGCAGGCCCGGGGCGCCTTACCCGCTGCCCCGGCTCCGGCCACCGGCCACCATCGGAGAAAGTCGCCCGAGCGCGTCTTGCCGGCGAGCGGCAGAGCGGGGCGCGGAGGGCCGGGGGCGGGGCCGCGCTTGTTTACCTCAGGCCGCGCGTCCGCGTCACGTGGCCCCGCTGGAATGCGCGGCTCGTGGAAGCGCCCCATTCAAGCGCGCGGCTCCGCCCGGTCCTGACCCCGCCCCTTAGGAGACGTCAAGGGCGTGGCCCGCGACAAGCGTTCGGCTGGCCGGTGGGGTTTACGCAGAGGTCTAGGAGCATGCGCAGTTGTGGCTTGCCCGGCTGCGGCCCGCGAGACTGCTGCAGCCGGCTTTCCTTATCTGAGCCTCAAGTCTTTGGGCAGAGCAGCTCTCTGCTGCTGCGGGGCGTGTTGGAGAGCTCGGCGCTGCCTGGGCAAGCATTCATACCTGGAAAACCTGCCATTCTAAGGCTTCCGGGCTAGAGATGGAGAATGGTGCGCTTTTAAACCTGTAAAGCGTTTGCAAGGTTGTGGGTCCCTGTTCCTGCCTGTGTTCGCCACCGCCTGCTTTTCCTTGGATTCTGATGTTTAGGGCTTCTCTTTAGAATCGTTCTGTCCAGCTAAGTGAAAAGCAGCTTCTAATTCAGGTCAATTCGGAAATACGTGGGCAAAAGAAAGGAAGCCTCTCAGACAGCCTTGCTTGGTCCATCAAATGTAATAACGGCCTCCGGTGTTTTGAATATATGTGGACATCGATCGCAGGCGATAGAGTAAATATAGAAAACACACCTAATGCTGGTGACCCCTTCCTGAAGGAAACTCAGAATATTCAGCTGATAGTAGCTTTATCTGTATTCTGAGCTTTGATCAAATACTAAATTTACTGGCACTAAACAGAACTGAAGTTAGATAGAGGCAATTGCACCGTTTTAGACAAGGGGGTTAAGCTGTACCCTACCTAAGGGTGTCAAATAGGTGAACAGGAAGACATCTAGTTCTCTGTTGCATTTCTGTGCTGGGCACAGTGCCTGATAGAGCACTACTGAAAGAAAGAACGGGTGTGGTGAGGGAGGAAGTCGAGGGAAAACAACTTCCCTGGGTTTCTCCCACTGAAGAAACCACAACTCCTGTCCTGGTCTTCTGATTCTTAACTTACAAGCTTTTGTTTTTCCCTTGACTCATTCAGGTGACTACAATCTGGAGTCATTAAACGATTGAGCATCTTTTCAAATTCTATTCACTACTTCTTAGGAGTTTGTATCTCCTAGGGCTAACTAGAAAAGGGAAATTAGATTTTGGTCCTAAGTATCTGTTGTTTTGCATATTAAGCCCTTGACCTTCAGCTCTCCTTAACCTTTCCGTAGCTAGGATTCTGAAACAAGAAAATACTGTTAAGAGCTAGGTCATCCTCAACTAGGTGTGGTGGGACTCATTTGTAATCCGATCCTTTAGAGCCTTAGGCGGGAGGACCTCTAGCTGAACGCCACAGAGCCCATTTGAGACTAGCTAGAATATCAAGACCCTGCCCCCCAAAAAAACTTATTAAAATAAATAATCCTCAAGTAATATCTACTGAATACTCAATGTGTGCCTAGTAGTCAGATTTCTTCTGTGTACCTGAGATACACAATTTAAAAGTGGAAGAATTTATTTTGGCTGTGATTGGCTAGCTTCGAGGCAGCATGGTAGAGGACAGCTGCCCACTCGCGGCAACTGAAAGCAAAGAGGGCACGCGAGCAAGCAAAGGTCCGGGCTGAAGAGCACACCTTTCCAGGTCTCATTCCCTGCAATCTGTTTGGACCAGGCGCTGCCTCCTGCCAGCTCCTTGGGCTCCGTATCTTTAGTTGCACAGTTCTGGCTACCTTCCTATCTTCAATCAATTCAAAGTGTTTATCTTTCATTGTCATTTTCACTTTAGAGAAGAACCAGCGGGTCTTGCAGTCCCAGATTCTTGAACAAGGTGGGTGAGGACCGCCATAATTTTTCAGGAGCCCCCCTTTCGGTTGGATGGTCCTGGGCAGCAGTGTTTACTGTATTTTTGATCACACCTCATAAAGACAGGCAAGAAAGAGGCCTTCCAAAACTGCTTCAGAAAGTGGCAGCAATGATGGGAGAAGTGTGTTTGGAGGACTAGGGTAGTGTTTTGAGGGGGATTAATGGCAATGTGTATTTTACTGTAAATTCATTCTCTGTAGATTTTGGTCACACCATGTACACCAGTATACCATCAGTTTCTAATATCCAGCCTTCCTTCCCACCAAGTCAAAACTTTTAAAAGTTTCGGCCATTCATCCATTTAGTCATTGTTTAATTACATCTTTACAAGCATACTATGAAAAACAGTCTTGAAAAATAACATGTGCTGCAATTTCAAAACTTGCTACAAAGGTTGTTATCAATTCTGTATGCTACTGACTGGAAAATAAACATAGCTTAGCCCAAAGATTAATTTATACATTTATAATCGGTTGTCTTTTGGCAGTAGTCAAAGAAAACTCAATGGAAAATAAATTTTTCAAACAACAGGTAACACAACTTAATATCTACATGCAACAAAAGAAATGAGGGGTGAAGGATTTAGCTCAGTGGTGTAAGGGCCTGCCTACTGTGTGCCAGTTCAATCCCTGGTACAGAAAAAAAAAGGACCCTCTGTCGTATAATAACGAAAGATCAAAAGTCTAAATGCAAGAGCTACAATAAAACTCTTACAAATAGTCTCCATGATCATGACAAAGATGATGGTGTGAACAAAAGCATATACTACAAGAAAAAAAAATAGAGAAACTAAACCAATAAATTAAAAACTTTTAGCCTCAAAAGACACTATAAATAGGCAACATGAATAGGAAAATATATTTATAAATCATACACATGATAAAGGATTTATGTCCAAAATATACTGCATAGAAAATTTTCCTAGAAAAACAATTCTTTTTGTGTGTGTGTGGTTTTTTGAGACAGGGTCTCACTATGCAGTTCAGGCTTGCCTTAATGTCACTTAGTAGCCCAGGCTTTTCTGGAACTTGCAACCATCCTCCTGACTCAGCCTCTCAAATGCTGGGATAAACAGGCATGAGCCACCACACTCAGCTAGTAATGCTTTTTTTAAATGAGTAAATAATTTGAAAAGACATTTTTCTGAACAGATATACGTATAGCCAATGAATATATGTTAAGTTGCTCTATATTTTTTATGATTAGAGAAAGGCAGATTAGAATTACAGTGTGATATGCGTCACACCCATTAGAGTGACTATAATAAAAAAATGGTGTAGCAAATTAGGGTCCTGTATGAACGTTGTTTGGGGGACCTGTAAAATAGTCCACATTCTTTGGAAAACAGTTTGGCAGTTCCTGAAAAGATCATTCTATTAATGTATTTTTTGGTTACTAAAAGTACAAAAGCTGGATACTCTATAAAGAAACTAAGCTCATTGACACCACTCTTGAGGTACCAGCATAGCCCCAGTATCTTTGCAGCTCTGATGAAGGCTTCATTCATGATGGGTAAACACTACAAACACACAATTACATTCGCAATGTCAGGAATGCCTGTGGGAGGGAATCATGATAGGGCCAGGCAGGACCAACATGAGACATGGAACTGATACTAAAGACCTTCTTTGAGGTCATACCTCAAAGATCCTGCCACATTTCAACATCATCCCGTGGACTGCCAAGTTCCCATGGACTATGAAGTCTTGGGAGACACACTCAAAACACATATGTAATCAAAAGAAATTAAAATATATGTCCACACAAAAACTTGCCTATCAGTGTTCATAATAACTTAATTTATAATATCCATAAAGTAGAAATAGCTCAAATATCTATCAACTAGCTAGGTGAGGTGGTACATGCCTATAATCCCAGCTCTTAGGAGGCTGAAGTAGGAAGATTGCTGTGAGTTCAAGGCCATTCTGGGCTACCTAAGCAAATTCAAGGCCAACCTGAACTACAAGGTGAGAACCTGTCTCAAAACAAAACAAAACAATCCATCAACTGATGAATGGATAAACCAAATGTGGGAGGTATCCTTATAAAACAGAATAATACAGTCATAAGCAGAATGAAATAGGTACTGATACATGCTATGATATGAATGCATCTTCAAAAACGTGCCACACTGAATGGAACCAGATACATAAAGCTACATATTGTATAATACTATTTATATGAAATGCCCAGGAAGATGGCGGAGTCATAGGCAGCAGAGAAAACAGCCTTTCTGAGAGTCACCATCCAGACACTGGAATTTAGTAGCATCATGAGGAAGATAAGAAGGAAAGAAATGGGACCCCTGGGCCCAGGAAGAATCTGAAGTGTGAATTGAAGCCCACAGAGAGAGTACAAAGAAAAGCTTCAGTAAAAAAAGAAGAGGGTAGCTGATGGCACATTCACCCTGAGATGGGCTCACTGTGTGAGAGGAGCTGTTCAAACCTGGGAACGCATGGTCACTGTGATGGTGACAGTGACAGCTGGTGACCCTGGAGGCAGGAAAATAACATGACAAGTCAATACATTTCAGTTATAACCATCAATGTTCATGGTCTCAATTCACCAGTCAAAAGACACAGACGGGGAAAATGGATCAAGAAGCAAGATCCAACAATATGCTGGATATAAGAAACACATTTAATTCAAAAAGAAATTCATAGACTGAAAATCAAAGAATGGAAAACAATACTCCATGTGACAGGAATCCAGAAAAAAGCAAGAGTAGCTATTCTATTTGCAAACGAAGTGATTTTCAAACCAAGAC